TTGGTAACATATGTCGAATATTTCAATGTATTTCGCGTTTGTTACAGTCTGAACTAGTTCAGATCAAAATATTTTAATCTGAACTAATCCGTTTTGAATAGTTCACAGATCAAAATTTTATTTTGTCCTAGTTCGAATCAAAATTTTAATCTGAACTAGTTGACTTCGCAATTGTTTTAATCTTAACAAGTTCAGATCAAAATTTCAATTTAAACTAGGACAGTTTTAAACTGAACTGAATTCTAATCTATCCTACGACATATTCTTTCACATACAATTGTCCATGTCATCGTAACTACAAACACACATCTGTTAGTTAGATGGTTACAACAAGACCTATGCCAGTGACTACTGAACAACCACGTAGCCCTTGTGCACGTACATGCTTGATAACTATCTTTTATTATATCCGTCATGTATCCGGAAGTCTGAAAACAAGAAAAGGTCAGACTTGAATCATGATGATGTTTATTAAAAACAAAAAAATGGTAATAAATGAGTTGAACTGAAACTGAGCTAGATCACAGGTAGACCTCTGTCGATCAGGAAATGACATAATCCCAAACAATAACTAATAAATGGGAAAATTCTAAAAGGTGCCAATGAGCAGCAATTGTCTCAAACACTGTTTAAAAAAACATGCTTCTTAGTCAGCTTTTCTATTCACTTGCGATGCACGATTTCTTCAACCGGTTTTTCTTATTTTTAGAGCCTTTTTTTATGAAACACCGTGGTGTACCACGATTTTGAAACAAAATTAATTTGTTCTTAAAAAAATTCACCTCGGTACACAGAGGTATCATAAGTCGCAGTGTATCGTGATAGAGAACAAATCGCGTTTTCCATGAAAAACCACGGATTTGTTTACATGAGTACTAACTGAACAAACTGCCTGGATTCGTTTCTGCTTTCTTTCTTTTTTTTCCTTCTCTAAACCCATGACTTTGTTAGAGAGTCAAAAGAGGCGAGCCATTTTTTAATTTTCTCAGTCCTTCGCCTTCACTCAGCATCGAGTCCGAGACTATGAAGCTGTTTTCTTTGTCGAATTTAGAGTTACTATTTATATCATAATTAACAAGACTTTAGTAGACCAACAACGGATATCATTATTAACATTATGCAAAGATAAGAAAATTCAGTATGATCATACATATTTTTCGAACAATATTTCATTATTTTTATTTATGTTTAAAGAAATGTTCACTTTTTATTTTACTTACATTTGTCACAATGATATTCGTTTATTCATTTAAATCATCATTTTATAATATATTCTATGATCGTATTTCATCATCAGCCGTAAATATTTCACTCAATTATTCAAAGCATGAAAAATTGTTCATTGATGAAACGGATCTGTTAGATTTTAAACATTCTTTACCCACCTTGTCACCATCGGCAACGCACATTCACCTGTTAAAAGAAAATTATTTTAATACAACAAACTTATATTGCCAATATCCAAAATTAAGTATTGATTCAAAAGATATATGGAATTATTTGAGACCAGTGAAAAAGAAACAGCCGGAGTGTGAAAAAGTACAAAATTGGGTGTACACAGACAATGGTTTGTATATGAATCACTTTCGGAGAAAAGATCAATAACTTGACTGGACTTGTGACTTTTCGCGAAGCTTATCAGCCTATAGGCTCTAAATGTGAAACTCTGACGCTTTCTACTACTCTATGGGGTCTATAATAAACTCTTAGTTAGATTTTGTTCATCATGTTGAAAATCGCCCCGAATATCACCAGGTCGTACAGGTTTAACTTGAGACGACTCGTGTGAATCTGCAAAACTTACACTTCTGCTCTCGATATTTATTATTCTTTAACTTCTATCATTTTCAAAGGTACATTTCGTCTTTCACAAGAAGCAGTGCAAAAATATGGTCCAATTAATTGTTCTTATCGCGCTATATTACGTGGTAAAAACGATTTTTCAACAATCGAAGAACCACCTCTGCTTGCGGTTGTGGATAAAATGCCCTTAGTGTCGGATTTTTTCCGTGTCCATTGTCGTGGACGTGACGGTTTAGTTTATAGTAATATACATTCAAGTATTAAATTTGATGCCGATCTACATATGCGACACAAATTGAACCCAATGGTGAAAAGACATCTAGGTAGGCAGATGCTGTGTGTCCTTCACAGTATCATTGAATGATTGTGTGAATGTTTTAGGTTATAATGTTCTAATGTTTGGTTTTGATTCTGTATCACGAATGACATTCATGAGATTATTACCAAAAACATACTCATTCTTAGTTTTTCAGTTAGGTGCTGTTGTTATGAAAGGTAGGTATAGTATGTGAGCTCGTTCTCAGATTTACATGATCTGAAACCCAGCAAGATCTCACTATGTGCTTCTTGTAGCCGGGACTCAATTACATAGATGCACGTATCCAGTTCTCGAAAAGAAGTGATCCAAACATCAGAACAAATCCCGTTTATAGTGCCTTGTCTTACTGTTGTCTCACTAAACCAGAATGATCGATGGACATAATATTGAAAGTTGTCTCATTGATCTAAGGTTCGAGGATACATGTGGTGCTCCCCAAGCAAATATCACTTATAGGAAAAAGCTAGATACATTTCGCCCAAATGGCCGTATTTGTCTAATAAACAATGAATTTTCAAATCAAAAAAAGTTCTGATGCATTTCACGGGTATACCTGCGGATCCCAGAGCTATTTTTTCCGAAAATGCCACGTGATGACTAGACCACAGGTAACGATTTGTATATCCGCGGGCCCTACTGGTAGTTGAAAGAATGATACGCATACAACTGTGCGTCGGGCACAAGTAGCAAAGAAGAAGACGCTCTTTAAATGCAAGTTTGAGAGGGACCTTACACAGGATTTTGGAGAAAGTTGAGATTTTATGTTTTCTTAGTCTAAGTTCAGAATGATATAATGAGAATACATATTCTCGATTTCATTACGGTTCAATATTAAAGCTTAAACCAAAGTTGAGATCAAAGTGCAGGATTTTCAAAATTGTCGAGTAAAGGAGATCAGCACGAAAGAGAGATATGGAGCTTTTGCTTCGTTGGAAAAATCAATGTTTATGATATAGTTTGTTGTAAAACAGTTGATAATCACTGATTTTTTCATCAAGTTGAAAAACATATTTGGTGGCCTTTTATGTCGACTTTTAAAAGTCGTACATACAGAGCGGTCAACTGTTGAAACCTTGAAGTTGATCATATGGAGAATTTTTGATGCTCTATCAAGTGGGCCATATAGGCTTTATTTGATTGAAAGAGAAAAATCGAGGCACCTCAGTTGAAATTGTTACAAAATACTGGTTTACGCTAATGTTTAGACCAGTTAGCACCCACTCTTTTCAAAAATACGTTGCATCTATGTAAGTGAGTGTCGGTTGCAAGATGCACATAGTGGAATCTTGACGAGTTCAGGTCGTGTAAATCTGGGAGCCACTGTATGGAACACACATCGCTTAACTTTACAGGATACAATATCGTCGGTGATGGTACACCAGCTGCACTTTTCCCCATTTTAACCGGACAAACCGAAACTGAACTACCAGAAAGTCGTCGTGGCCATGTCGGAGCTACAACAGTAGACAAATTTCCATGGATTTGGAATAAATTTAAAGGCAATTAACACATTGATTATCATCTATCATATCATCAACACTTTTCTATTTTTCAATCGTAGCTAATGGCTATGTGACACAATGGGGCGAAGATGCGACATCTGTAGGTGCATTTCAAATGCGTCTGCTAGGCTTTCGTGATCAACCTGTTGATCACTATGTACGGCCATTCTTAATGGTAGCGGAGAGTCGTAGAACAAGAGACGGGTTCTGTTTTGGTTCAATTACTCGGTTTAAAAATATGTTAAATTGGATAAAAGAATTCTTTGAAATGTACCCTCCGTATCAGCCAAAGTTTTCATTTCTACTCCATAAGCAATATTCTCATGATACAAATAATCTTTTGCCCTACGCCGATGATGAAGCATTGGAATTTCTTCAATATATGAATAAACATGGCTATTTAGATAATACAATGTTAATGATAATGACCGATCACGGTGCTCGTTATTCGCAGTTTAGAACATCGTATCAAGGAAAATTAGAAGAGCGTCTACCCTTTATGTCTATTCGCATGCCACCGAAATTTCAACAACAGTATCCCCATCTCATGCGTAATTTACGTTTGAATTCACATCGTCTGACTACTCCATTCGATATTCATGAAACATTTTTAAATCTACTTGATTTTCATTCACATCAAGGTGAATATCAATCAAAAACAAAACGTTCCTACAGCCTATTACAGTTGATACCAGAAACACGTAGGTGTGAAGAGTCAGCTGTGGAAAATCATTGGTGTACTTGCTTAGAATGGTCACACATATCACTGACATCATCTGTCATTGAACAATTTGGCCAGGCTGCCGTTCATTTTCTTAATTATTTTGTACGTGACGTTAAAGAAAAATGTGCACAACTGACACTATATCAAATACTTAAAGCACACCAAGCATCTATCAGAAATAAGAAAAAACAATTCTATCAAATACAGTTTGAAACTCGACCTGGTAATGGACAATTTGAACTAACAGCAACTTACAATCAGTCGACACAAACATTTGATATAAAGAAAACAAGTCTAAGTCGAATTAATAAATACGGTAGCACGTCAGCATGTATAGCGCACAAGCGGCCAGAATTTAGAGAAATATGTTACTGTTCTATGAATGCTAAAATGTCGCGCCACTCATGATGGCAATCAACATTGCGTGTCTCAAGTTGTTTTGAAAAATAAAGTTCCCTACATTGTTGCGCTTACGTTATGTTAATGTCTAATCTTTGGAAAAAGTATCTGCAAATACACGTATTGTAGGATGAATGAACTAAAGGGCAAATTTACGGTTTCTAGAATCAATTGAAATAGACTGTGTAAGTTGTTGAATAGTTTCTTGTTTGTTCGGTTTTGAATGCGTATCTTTCTGTCACAGATAACACTAAAAATTCCTTTTTGCACATCAAGTTGATAGAGCAAATGTTTTTCTACAAAATGAGATATCCAGCAGTTCTGAGCGATTTTTCATAAATGATTCGAAGCGACTTTGGTGAATGCTCTAATATCGATTATTAATCGGTGCACGCCTTGTCGGGCCATGTTTTGATTCAATGAATTCTCGATCGGGATATATAAATATTTTTTTCTTGTTTCGGTATATGTCTTTGAAATACTTCCTCTCCTAATAGTTAGGAAGCAGATAAGACGATTAGAAGTTTGAAACATAGATAAAATGTGTTAGAAAACATACGCTTCCATTCAACTTGTTTTCCTTACTTTTTTCTCTTGCTTTGTGCTTAGTCCGGTGATATTGTTTTTCTCTTCTAACTTAGTACGTTGACAGTATGCATTGATCGTTTTGCCCTTATTTTTTATGTGACAGTAACAAATTCTAAAGTTTTTTTCTATGAAAACATGTACATTGTAGATGATTGTTTTTTTTTTTATATTTAGATTGAAACAAAAGCAAAATAAAAGCGCATAGCGGTTCACTACAAAAGAAAATTAATGAAGAAAAATGCGACAAAAAAAATTTAAACGAAAAGGACGCTGAACAATTGTAAAAATGGTATCGTCCCGATTCGTCGACAAATCGGACACTTCAAAGAATATACATCAAAGAATTTCAAAGGCGGGAGGGGCGGTGTGAGAGTGAGTGTCGACGAATCGGGACTGAATCGTAAAAATCGTTCTAGACTTTCAATTTCTTTAAAAATATATATTCCACTTTTGATTTTCAATTTGTTCACATACGAATTCGCCAGAGATTTTCAAGTTTAAAAAGCGTCATTGATTTTATGCAAAATCGATTTATTTTCTAGAGTATCGCTTTTTGATTTTCTAAAAAATCAACGGCGATTTTCCAAAGCAATTGAATGGATTTTTCAGAAAATCCAGATACGTTTTATGAGTCTATTGGCGTTCGAACAAAAGGAAACTCAACGCAGAGTGTCGTGGTTCTCAAATATAACAAAAGTTTTACGAACCCCGTTTTGGCAAACTTTTGATTGGGGCTCGTAAAACTTTTGTTGCACTTGACGACTACGATATTCTGCGAAAACGGAAAATATCACATTTTGTTCAGCTCGCTTTTCTCTATAAGGCTAGATGTAAACGGTCCTTGAGTTTCCTTTTGTTCGAACGCCAAGAGACTCACAAAATAACAAAATCGTGACGGAATTACGCGTAACGTGAACAGGCCGTATATGGACAAACTGGAAATCGTTTTTTATTTCCCATAACTTATTTTCAAGTTTACAGTGCATAGTTTTTTTGTTTCTTTCATGTTTCCGTTTGTTGATCACCTTGTGTACATGGGACTTGCTATTTTGGCAAAATTATCAATAAATTTTTGATAAAAATTAATCCCGCCGATAAACTGATTGGCTTAATACAACAAACAACTGATTATATAGCAATTTATTTCCATATCTGAATGTATTTGGCTGGATAAATAAAGTCAACATAGAAGCAATCATAGCATAATTCCAGTTGCTTATAAATAGAATTAATGGTATTATAAAGTGTTTCAGGATTAAAAGGTAACTGAATGTATGCTAAATTTTTCATTAATATAAATATTTCAACAATATCATTCATTTTAAATAATTTTGTTTTATAACCTTGATGAATAATAATTAAATAACGAACATTTATAAAATATTTCACTATATCTGATACATTCTCAACAAAGAAGTCGGCTAAAATAAGTTCTCTAATATTTTTAAATATCACATGAAATTTAACATCATTATAATGATTCGTTATTTTTAAAATAGTTTTATAATTAATAATTAATCTTTTTAAGTTTGGTGAATATAATATTAAGCGTTTTCTAAACATATTCCATTTATTATCTTCTAAACTGAATTGAAGTGTATGAATTGTTTTAAACTGAAATTGTTCATTTTTTTCATCATTTAACCATTGAACGATAATATCAGAATCGTTTTCTAATTGACTAACGTCTACTACACTGATATTCTTTAATATTTCATTTAATAATTTGAACAAACATAGTGATAATGGTGCATACATAGTTAACTGTTTTACCTTTTTATAATAAAATGACATGTCTGTAATGATAGAATCACTGTTTAATTGTCGATTTAGAAAACCATTTGATATTCCTCGAATCCATTCAGATGAAAATGGAAGTGATCTTAAACAGTAAGAATTTACCTGTTCATTATAGTGACAACCAATTAACCATTTTTTAACAAACCAATATTTAGTTTGAAATGTTGAAATTATTTTCGATACTGACAATGTCTCATTTTTAACGTAGAGAGCATAATCAAATTCAATTAATTGTGAGAAATGAGACAAAATATCCCGTTGCAAATAGTATCCATCAGTAAGACGTGTCTGATTATCTAAAGTAATTTCGAGAGATAAACGTTTTAATGTCGCTGGTAGATGTCGAAGTAAATTGACAATAAATATATCGTTTTCAAATGAAAAATGAATTTTTGTTAGAGAAAAATCAATTAAACGACAAATCTTTTTTGATAAATTTTTAAATACAGAATGTTTCATATCGTTTTCATTACAATCTTCATTGAGAAATGTAACATGCATTATTCGAATGCGAGGCAAATTGTTGAATAAAATAATTAATTCTGAAAATGTATTCAAACTGATATATAATTCTTCAATTTTACATGGTCGAATATGTTTGTTAATATAAATCCAGTTACAACTTAATTTTTCTAATAAACTTGTACGAGAAAATAAATATTTACATAAATTTATTTTGTAAAGTTGTTTGAAATCATCTTCGGATTGAATAAGATCAAGTTTTAAGTTGATTAAATGTGAAAAATGTTCTACATATGATTCTATATCGTTAATGTGATAGTTTAATAGAGTTAACGTTTGTAAATTTGTACATAAAGAGAGAATAGTCAGTTGTGGATAAGATTGTTCGTTGTTCAGTTTCAAATGTTCTATCCAATGACCAATTTTTGGTAAAATAATATCACTATAATATTTAAATGTTTTAAAAAGTATTCTGGTCAAATCAAAGATTTAAAATAGTATTTTAATAATGAATCAAAACGAGAGTTAATATTAAAAAATGATAAAAATATATCATATGATTCCATGTAAATAAATATATTTAAAATAATTTCATTTGGAAAACTTAATTCAAACGTAGACATGTTGAAATAGTTTCATTAAATTTTAATGTATATTTTATTGTCGAAAAACAAAAGTAGAAAAAAAATTCAGATAAAAACTCCGAAGTATGTCATGATATGGTACGAGGACTGACGACTAAGTGCATCCGCTATAGTGTCACTAAAACATATAGGATATTCAAAATTCGAACTGAAATTCATTGGATGAAAATTTTAGATTTAAATTAGCTTCAAATGACATTTCATTTTCCCATATTTTTTTGTTATGCTCAAGCGCAGCAACTGAGATTTCCGATGAGGGCGCCGCATGATGAATCTCCAGCACAGTCTGTTAGTGGCGCCCTCATCGGAAATCTCAGTAGCTACGCTTGAGCATAACAAAAAAATATGGGGAAATGAAATGTCATTTGAAGCTAATTTAAATCTAAAATTTTCATCCAATGAATTTCAGTTCGAATTTTGAATATCCTATATGTTTTAGTGACACTATAGCGGATGCACTTAGTCGTCAGTCCTCATACCAATAGTTCGTTTTCGTCAACTATGTGAAACGAAAACTATTTTTCTCTTTTCTTTTCTGTATATATGACAGAACGAAATCATTACGTCATCCTGTTTAGTTACATTGCATGACCGAAAGTCGAAGTTTTACTCACAATGACAAATTGATTTGTTTTGCGTTTTCTATTAATGCTCTACGTTAGAGTAAAAGTGGACAGAATGATCTTTTGTTTCAAAATTTCTCATTAAAAAACCCTTTATCGACTTATTAGAGAGATTTTCGTTCGCTGCTTCGTTGGTCTTTGATTTCACTTGTTTAGCATAGAACTTATTTCTCACCGTATTTCGCTGTGTATTTAGAGTGTATAGAGTGCGACTGTGTTTTAAACATTTTTGGGTGAGTCTATTGGCACTCCCGGGCATGTCAACAAGAAGCTATTGGCACTCCCACCACCTGTTTGGACAACAAGGACGTCATCTGACATATGAGCGCCCGACGTTTGAGCGTTTCTCGAGCTATTCTTTGACCCGCAAGATTTGGATTGTATATTTGCGTTTTGACGGACATCTTGCTCATCGGGGAAGGGAGATGGCAGGTGGATAGTGAGAGTGGGTGAAAAAGCTGAAGATCTAATAGATGAAAATTGGAATATACAATCCGAATCTTGCGAGTCAAAGTATAATTCGAGAAACGCTCAAACATCGGGCGCTCATATGTCATATGACGTGAATTGTAAATATGATCATTTTATTTACATTGCTTCCATTGGATGTCTGTACTGTACCAAGCTTGACAATATACATAAATTCAAGAGAGCAGAAAAATAAAAACATTTTGCTCGATTCTAAGCATATAATATTTTTGTCTTCTTTAGCACTTTTGTTTTGTCTCATTAAGGCTCATCTCCCTCATCAGAAACCTATCTCTCAAAGTATAAGTCTGATCTTGACTAATTTTTAGGATATGCTGCTCTTGTGAAAGTATGATGACGAAAATTTTTGTTTGACTCCATCTGGCATGGTTTGTGAGATATCGCCACAACAGTGATCAGAATGGGGCTATTCACAGCTCCAAGATTTCTCAGCAACGAAACGTCGTGGAGAGCTCGGACTCGTCTTAAATTGACGAAAACACATGTGGCTGGAGGTTAATATTAGAGCTTACTTTTCAAATTAATGGTCAGTGTCAGAAGTCCAAAATTAGAAAAAATCTCATTAACTTGCATAAAAATATTTTTCTAACCACAAATCTAGACCAGATATCAAAAGTCGAGCACTATTAGTCTCTAGCTACACGCGTCAGCTTCAGTTTAAGGCCTTCCCGAGCTTTCCACGACGTTTCGTTACCGAGAAATCTTGTAGCTATGAAATGGTGTTAAGGTGAAAGGGGGGGACTTAATATCGTGTTACACATAGGTTTTTCAGAAAGAGGAATGCTCAGAGTGAGGAGGGACAACGCGAAGAGAACACTGGGCTACACATTTTACAATTTTCTATATAAACGTTCCTTTTGGAGTCCCACTAAAAAAAACTGGACAAAATCCTGAGAGATCACGTTAGAATCGAAAGGTAGTTCTCTGAAAATTCAGCATTTCACCTGGTATATCTAAAAGCGTTCAGAAACATCTATTGTCTGTTTAAAGGTCAGTCGCCTTGCATATCTTTTAAATAACTTTTGAACGACGCATGATATTGATGTGGAGTTTCCAACATTTGATAACCAAGACTTTAAGCCATGCTTTCTTAAGAATAAATTGATTTCGGAAAAGTTTCGAAGACTGATTCTTTAAAAGGTCTTTGGAAAACTACTTCTGATCCTTCAAAACTAAAATAGCAATTTATCGATTTCTTTTCATTGGTAGATAGTTCAAGGTGTCTTCTATAAAACTGGATCTAAGCGACCTCTTAATTTTTTGTTATCTAGGCATAGACGCGGATTTTCTAAGAGCCCCGCGATCAATACCTCTTCAGATGTGATAATCTCGAAAACGAATGGAAGCATAGATAATCGATTACTCTGAATCACTGACAACATTTGTTTTTCAAAAATGTTTCAAAAACCTTGTGAAAACCCATATTAGGTGAAATGACCCATTTTTTGTCAAGTTTTACGTAAAGTTAAAAAGTTCATAACCCAGCCAAGATCCATCCAAATTATGTCAGAATATCAAGATGTACTCTGTTTTATGTGCTTCTTACGATTTTTTAGTAGCTGGTCTTATAGCGGGTTGAGACTGAATAAGAATTCCGACACACATACCCTGTAATATTGAAATATAGATGGCAGTGTAAGAAGCAGCCTAGAATGACAGACCCTTATGTCCCATGCTGCTTGACTTTATTCGTCTGGTATAGTCTCGAATGAATCCTTCTGACTCATTTATCCCCTATGAGGGTGGAAATTCAGAAACGCTTTAGGAATCAGGAAGAATACATGTTTCAACGAAGGGCTTATCGGCGAACAGTTTAACAGTTAGTGTGAACCCTTAGTGTCCCTAAAGCACCGATTTCGGCCTAGAAAACATTTTGGCTCAAAAATCTTTTCGCTATGAACACCGTTTTCGACAGTTGTAAATCAAAAAAATGAATAGAAAGACGGTTAAATGAGTAATTTTCAACTGATTTTCTGATTCCAGAACTATTTTTATCAGTAAGAGATTTAAAACAGTCATTTTGTCGCACAAAACGCATAAGAACGAAAACTCGTTTTTTTCGCTGCAGTTTTTTTTTTTTAAACATTTAATCCTCATCTCTCCGGTCCAAGGAGCACTGAAATCGGGTTATCCCATTGCATCTGTGCTCCAAGCTACCGAGACAACGAGCATGAGATAGCTTGTCCAAGACTATCACGCGGTCGCCGTTGCCGGGATTCGAACTCGGTACTTTTGATGTACGTTGTCTGTCCGCTAGCCGACTGAGTCACGTCGCTCGCTCCAGTTTTAAGTTACGCACGTTTAAAACCCGCTTAAAACCTCTGCTAAAACCTAAAAAAATGCTTTTGCTTAGGTTTGACGATGAGCTCTTTCATATGGCTGGATCAAAAACATTTTTTGTTTCGAAAAGATGTCCAGCTTGAAAACCTGATCGTTGAAAAACCGGGTCTCTAAACTAAAATTGGGCCCAAACTAATGTCATATTCAGATTCAGCACACTCTATTACTTATTGTTCACTAAGTTTCAGGTCAAAAGCGTTTAAACAGTTGGGGTACTTCTCTCGTAAGTCAGAAGGTGTTTTGGAAAATCAAATTCGAAAGTGAATGTTTCAAGATTATCATCAACGGTTGATTTTACGCTATTCCACCTATATTTTTCAATTCTGGTTTGCCATGAGACTGGAATTAGATCTCAAAATATACGTGAGATAGATTGATATCGTATTGCTCGTCTATGGGTTTTACCGTAAGGAAACGTTTACTGTATGTGATGAAACATCACGCTTGTACTTACAGAGGATGTGTATCCGAGCAATACTAACGCTATGAACATTTCGAACTGTGCCGCGATAATATAGAGATCGCACTAAGAAATATTTACTTGGTTTTTTGAAAATTTATCAACTTTTCAAGTTCCGCCGCAAGATCGCAAATCTATAGCGATCGCACCGCGAACATTAATCGTGTAGCGAATCTTAAAAAAAGATTGTTTTCAAATAGGATTAGGCCTAGATCAGAGCGCGAGTGTGAGGTTCTACTCACTCACTTCTCATATCTATTTGCATAAAGTGAACGGCTATATATAGTGCACAAGTTGAACAACAGTTATGCAAGACTTGCGCAGGAGTTACGCAAGAACAGAAAGAATTTGGAAAACAACTGCAAAACAGAAAAGAAAGGATAAAACAAGTGTTGCACAAGAACAGAAAGAAAGGAAAAGAAGAGAACATAGTCTTATGAGCTGTCAGGAATGGCAGATCATAACAGCGAGTTTAAGAATTCAGCGCGATCGCCATGGTAATACAAGGCTTTTTAGCGATCGCGCCACGACCAGAGTTGGAACCGGTTTAATTTTTCCTAACCGGACCGGGACGGCCAGTTTATCGGCCGGTTTAATGCGTAGTTCAACCGGTAATAAACCGGCCGGTTCAGTTTTGGAGTTCAACCCGTAAAAAACCGGTCGATTCCATAGCAGATTAAAGTCCGGATTTTGTGAAAAACCGATTTTTTGCAGAAAGCTAAGCTTGTGTATTTTCAAAATCTTCCTGTTATGGTTATTTCAGTATTAACGTGAGGTATTGAGCACGAAGTTCAACCCAATACGAAACGAAGAAAAATTCGCGGACTAAGTTCTGATGATGTATGAAACTCAGTAAGAAAACAATATACATTAATCACGTTTTAAGTAAAGTTAAAAAGTTCATAACCCAGTCAAGATCCATCCAAATTATGTCAGAATATCAAGATGTACTCCATTAAATAATATTCTTATCAGGTTCTTGACAAAGAAAACTCAGGTAAGTAAAAGTCGAACAGAAAGGAAGTTTTATAGTCGCATAAATTCAACATCAGTATATCTCATTCAGTCTGTGTAATATTTTAAAGTAAAACACATTTAACAAAATCAAAACTTATTTTGCGTTTTTCTCAGGAGCGTCTTTTAGCTTCAGGACTTAATTTTATTTTTTTTAGCGCAGGAATTCTCGATAACGATACCTCGGAGAAAGAAATTTTTTTGTTTCATTTGTAGATAACATCTATGGCTAGAACTTGACAGTGTCCGATTTTTAAATTATGCTTCCATTTTTTATTGAAATGGGGATTTCCAAGAAACCTTTCAAGAATTTTTCGTATTTTAAAGTTCTATTAAGTACCAGAAATCAGTAAATGAGAAATTCAAAAATCGGGCTTTGTCAACTCCTAGCCATATGTGTTCACTTCAAAACAAAAAAAGCTCGAGCTCTCTATCATTTACCTGGAATGAGAATTCTTGCGCGTGGTAGACGCCTATTTTTGGCACTTGTTCACTCTCTCATGAACGGCGGCAAGTGGTACCAAAAAGAAATTTCGTTACAATACTTTGACATTCCCTGACAGTTTGGTTCAAATCGGATCTACCTGGGCTGGGATAGATTTTTGACCCGGCGGAGGCCTTAACTTCCGCTTTAACTTTACGTTCTTTGGATTTAACTTTTGGATTCTTCACCTTCACTATATAGCCAATAGTACTAAAATCATGTAAGACATTATTAGTTTCTTATATTGTACTCTATAAGAATCTTATTGCCAGGGTACGTATTTAAAGCCTTTGTCGTATATAATAAAGTTTTCTGTAAGAACCGTATTTAATTTCCAATGAACAATATGAGGCTTATAAAAGGTTTCATAACCCGTTATCAAACTAAGCAGTATGTGAAAGGTATTTTCTACTGTTTTTCCAGTCGAACCAGTATAATCTCGGAACTCGATTTACTATGGTTTTCGTCTGAATATCATACCTGAGCAAAAAAAATAAAAATGCATTGTTCCTATAATTTTGAGCAGTATCGTCTAGAGAACAACAGAACAAAGAGCAGAAAAAAAGTAAGAAACTGGAAAATATAAAAATACTATACAAGAAAAATGGCATTCCGTAGACCCCATCCATCAAACAAAGTAGTGAAGAAATTGTTATTTCCGTTTTTGTTTGTCAACAAATAAAATGAAAAGTGTACATGCCAGAACAACGAATTGTAAAAGGTGATAATCTGAAAGAAATTACAACAAAAACAGAGTTCAGCTATAAGCTAGCTATACTTGCCATTTTTAGGCTACCATCCAGTACTGAAAGATGCTGCCTAGGAATAATACTGTTGCCTGGTTCGATGAAAATCCACTGCATATCTGCGTTCTGTATATATTGTGCAACAATAGATGTTTTTATTTTTTATAATTCAACTAAACTATTACAATTTGGTATGATTCATCGCGATGAATTTTTCCTTTCAATAAATACTAGAAAAATGGGTGACGGGTGGGTAAAACAATCATTTATCGCGATAAAAAACAATAAAAGACGTATTGTGACAAATGACTCTTTTATGTTGTATAAACGTGGTGTATAAAACGACCTTTCTATCTCAAGAATTTCAGTATTGCTTGCAACCTTCGGACTAGTCTATGATCCTACATATTCTTTGTTTTCTGTCTTATGCAGGTGTTTATATATTTGGCATAACTGATATATGTCGAGAGAACAAATTTGACCATTAGAAAGTGTCAGTGTACCAAAACCATGCCTTTGTTGGTTTTGCCAATGTCCATCGTCAACCTCACCTTTAGGATATGTGAAAACTCCTCGTCCATGAAATCTACCGTTTTGCCACTCACCCTTAGAAGCATCCGCTTTTTGTTGCTGCGCGATCTGATCGTTGCCAATTAGCCGTTATCATCACATCACTTAACGAAAAATAAAAAAATCCATCTATAGCAGTTCTAAGTGGTGTTTGTTTACTAGTCGGTGCAATTGGTATAATTTTTGGTTTAGTTGAATTATAAAAAATAAAAACATCTATTGTTGTATTACCTTTTTCTGTGAATTGAGAAATTTTTATAAATTCATCTTTATCTTTCGAATCTTTTTTTATCCGGTATAATTTATCACAGTATCTTTCGAACTCATGTTTCTGATTATAGCCATCTATTCGTTCAAACCACTTACCAACCAATTCTGGATCTAAATCACGATTAGTCCATAGTATTAAACTTTCAATTTCGAGTTCGAAAGATACTGTGATAAATTATACCGGATAAAAAAATTTTCAATAAATTCAGAAATTTTTATAAATTCATCTTTATCTTTCGAATCTTTTTTTTTAAGATAACGTTTACATGGAAGGCATATTCAGCTTCAGCTTGACAAGCTGACTAGCCTTATATGTATTTGATATATAAACAGCTCAAAAAAGCATGTGGTAGTATTATCCAAAGACTGTTCTGGGTCCCCTTTTGCAATAACACCTCATAAGATTGTCTCGAATAAAAAAATATCAGAAAGCTACGTCCAACATTGAATATTAACATCCAACATTGCACATTGAATATTATATCGCTTAACCCTTTACCTGCCCAAGGGTCACTCTTGATCCATTTGTAGAATTGTTATAAAAAGATAATGAAACATGGGATAAAAAAAGAATTGCTTTTGAGAGCAAGATAAGTTCATAAGCTATCGAATGATAAAATAAGATTTTCTTTTTCATCAGTTTATGGTGAACACATTTCAATCACAGAATAAAAAATGGAAAAATTTGGAAAAAAATTTTCTCACTCTTTATCTTTTATTCAAGAACGTTTCAGAAACATATTAATTAGTAGAGCGTTGTCTTTCCAAGCAAAATAGGACAGGCTCTTCTTATGATGTATGAATTTTCTGAAAAGTGCTTACAAATAAATGCGTTCCAAACTATTCACAAATCACTCAGTCATGTTGTAGAGCTAGTTTATAAAAAATTTGACTAAAACAAACACAGATAGTACCGACTCATCAACAAAATTTCCTACAGAAAATGATCATTGTAGTCTAAGTACTTTTCAACGTTATCCATGACTCATTGGTCGCGAACGATATGAAATGTAATATATTAAAAGCGCCAAATAAAAGATTCTCAAAAACAAAAAAAGGAATTCTATCATTTACTAAGTTTATTATACCATAGACTCCAATGTAAGTGCTGTACAACGGATGTATATAATGCAGACGACAAAAGGAGAGTGATGGTAATATTAAGAATGAGAGAGAGATAAAGGGTGGGCCAGAAGTTCTGACTCGATTTGAATAATAAATTTTTCTATAGTGAAACAAGTGGTTGTAAATTTGTCTCTATGAAGAAAAGATGCAGTAAAAAACGCTCTACAAAATGACGATTG